GGGGCGGGCAAACGGCGCTTTCGAAACGCCTAAAGAGTGACATGCACCGGCTTTGGCAGGCAAGGCTGCGGTGCAGGCATGTGCAGCCAAAGGTCCCGGGAAGGGCTGTGGAGCCTGGCAAACGGCCCTGCCGGCTGCCGAGAGGCTTTTGGGGGGCGGGCAAACGGCGCTTTCGAAACGCCTAAAGAGTGACGTGCACCGGCTTTGGCAGGCAAGGCTGCGGTGCAGGCATGTGCAGCCAAAGGTCCCGGGAAGGGCTGTGGAGCCCTGCCGGCTGCCGAGAGGCTTTTGGGGGCGGGCAAACGGCGCTTTCGAAATGCCTAAAGAGTGACATGCACCGGCTTTGGCAAACGCCTAAAGAGTGACATGCACCGGCTTTGGCAGGCAAGGCTGCGGTGCAGGCATGCAGCATGCGGCCAAAGTCGTTGGTGATGGCTTCTCGCTGCGCTGTCCCAGGCGCCGCCCCGCTTAGGCCATGGCTAAGCAGGGGTCGGCGGATATGTTTAGGAACATGGTGCAGCAGTGCAGCAAGTAAGTGAGAAGTATTTTACTAAATCCTAAAGGCGTCCCACCAATTCCCAAAGCACATTGTTGTGCCCTGCAATTCCGCTAAGAGCATCAGTGTCAGGCCAGCCAAAATGGATTCCAATTGCAGTCACCCAGGAAACGCCATCCCCTCACAGATGGGACCAGTCAAGTGAAAGAGCCAATCGGCCGGCAAGCTAGGTCAACAAAGCAGCATGATCACTGGCGCTTGCACCAAAGTTAACAATGGCAACCTACAACTCAGTGAGACTCAATTTGGTGGGTCTAGAAAAGGTTGCCTTCCAAGATTGCTTCTTGTAGAATTTTTGGATGTTCGATCTACACCAAGCTGAGGTCACCGTGGCTTCACTTGTGTGTATCCTAGTGATTTACTGGAGCAGAATTCACTGCTCCAGCCGCAAGCTAATGGCCAAGGCAGCAGGAAGGCTTTGCCATGGAAACGTGTTGGAACCATCCTTTGAAAGGTATATAGTTTTTGAAACGCAGCTGACCAGCTGAGCTACCGGCTACTGGTGAACATTCACGGTTCTTGTGAGCACAGCATAAGTGTTTTTGCTGACATTTACAAAATGTACATTCCATGCACCCGAGCCAAGATATGGAATTTCACTTGCTTTGGCAGTCCTACAAGCTTTGTGAAACCTTGTATTGAGTTGATGTTGTTTGGTCTAAGACACCTTTGGCTGACACGCATGGAATCAGTGTCCTGTTTGACTGCCTTTATATAAAACAACAATAATGATGTAAAAACAGACAAGGAACATGTGTTGTGTTCCTGGTACTCCTGTTGTGCTGGGCTGTGTGTAGTTGGTTTGTACTTCAAGCGGGCAAAGCCTGATAGCTTACCATTGATTTGATTACGCACGAAAAGACCGAGCGACAATACATTCAGGCTGAGCACATGTCAGACACCCAAGGCACACTTGAACAACAACAGCCCTTTGCAGAGTCAAATCAAAAGACACATCAAACAAAACGAAGATGTTGATGAATTTTGCCAGGTACCTTCCGCAATGCACCTCTATCCTCAGCCAAAAAGCTCCTCCAGACGTTCGCAACCAAATCGGCCTATGTTTTACTTTATTGGAAACAAATGATTCAGGAAAACTAGTTGGAATTTGGGGAATGTCGAGGCAACAGTCCAAGAGCTGAACTGGGTGAAGGCTTGTAACTGGTAGCGGACGCAGCTTCAAGATACCATGTCTTGCACCAGTTTCTCGAGACAAGTCAGACTAGTAGTGTTTAAGTGAGGAGTCCACTATGAAAGGGAGGGAGCCAGGCACGTCCATAAAAGCTCTCCTACAAACCTGGTTTGATACAGAAATGGTGTTCACTCCATGATTTGAAGAGTTGGAACACCTTCATAGAAAGTTTTTTCTGTATAGATTACCCACATTTGCTGGTGAGCATGGTGTTCCGCTGCGACGCATAACACCAAAATATCGGAAGCATTCAGGTGGGCTTGCTTCGGAATACTGAATTAGGTGCTACTAGTACCATCAACAGCTATGTGTACAAACTGAGAGTTGCATGATTCACCAATAGAGAACGGAGCTGAATACGAACTCATATGCAGACTGCAATTACGGATATGATTCGATTGAAGCGCGACGTCTAGACATGTTCCAATATTGAATTACTGTACTGTATTCTTTCAAATCCGGATTTCTCACTTCCGCTTTAACAGCGATCCAGGATTGTAGTGCTTTTACCCGGGGACAAACGGAAACATTGAGCGCAGGCGCAGGCTGGCTTCCTTGCAAGTCAGAGCCCCAATGTTGGCCAATGTTTTACATAACGTTCCTTTTATGATGCATGCAAAAAGATGTGCTCTAGTCGTGAGGCTAGGAGAACCTGATGTCCTCAATCCGGGACAACCATTTCTGTTAGCATGGGCGCCTCAGAATGGAGTCGTTGTCAGGTAAAGGTAGAATCCAGAGAGAAGACGAGAAGAAGAGAGATGCTGTTTATAAATTGTACATGAATCGCAGATACTGTATATGTTTACAACTTCTTTGAATCGCAGACAGTGCCCGAATGTCCTTTCTGCACTAGCACGAGATAGCACGAGGCGATCTAAATCAAGCACGGTGCTTGTGTTCTATCTCAGACTACAATTTATATAGGAAGGTCATCTGGATGAAGGCTTCGGCGGCTTCGTACCGACAAGACACTCACCTGTTCTTAGATAGTCCAGCAACTCCGGACACTTGCCAGCTTTGAAATACTTTGAATGAATAGGAATGGCTAGTCGGTGTTTGTGGGAATCGGAGGCCCGGCAAAGCTCCAAAAGCTTCAAAGGGTCAAAATCCAAAGACTGCTTTGGCAGCGCTTTGAGGCCCAAGGATGCATCACAAGCTTCAAGTTGTTGTATGAATTGTGTATCCTGCATTTAGCTACTGCACGTTTGCTTTGCTTTAACTCTGAAGCAGTTGACCATTTCGTGGTCGGCACACAACCGGCTGGAAGCCAGGCCCTATCAGGCCAACTGGGAAGTGCCTTCCTGCGAGGCGTCTGAAAGATGTGGGTGAGACGGTGAGACGGATGTGGGATGATTGAAGGATTGAATTGATGCAGGTTCAAGCCTTCAAACTTGCTTTTGAGGACAATGCTTTTGGTCTCTTCAGTATTGCGCGGCTCGAAAAATTGCTTTTCAGACAGCGGATAGCTTCTGAACGACTTGTTCAGCCAAAGTGTGATGAGGCACGGCAAACTTACCTCATCTATACATTCCGTCGAACTCGAGAATACACCAAAGTTCGAAGTGTTGTTGGTCTTATGTTTCAGGCGTAAGTCACTAGAACACCTTTGGTACCCTTTGAGCAAGTGGGAGTTAAACTGAGCTTACTGAAGGCTTACTGAGGCTTACTTTTTGAGGGGAACAACTTTGCACACCCATGCTCCGTTTGACACTTGTCCTTTGCGGCCTCGCTGCCGGCCACGCGAGTGGAGACAGACCAGAAAGAGTATTCGATTCCTGCACTCAATTGCTAAATGACTGTTTTGTTTATTTTTATTAATTCTCTTTGTTGGGGGGTTGGTAGGCTGCTAGTAGGTAGTAGCTATAGAGGTAGCTAGTAGAAGCTAGGTAGCTAGTAGCTCAAGTAGCTACTAGTATGGACGCAGGATGGCTCACGCTTCTATTCATTTGGTTCCTTGAAACTAGAATATTAAACTGTGCGTCAATCACATACTGACCTTGAGAAACAATTTTACAACATCACTCCTGCACAATTTTTGTGCTGCTTGCAGAACAGAATAGGCCAGTTTTGTGATGTTTCTGGCAATGAGCCAAGGACAACTCGGACATACCTAGCTGGATACCTGGCTATCCTGGCATTGATAAAGGGACGATCCACTTCACCTATGCTAAGGTTCGCGCATTAGTCTTAAAACTCAGCTTTTGGCCTTGGCGGATTTCAGCATCGAACCTGGCAAGGACACGATCGAAGTAATACTTTTGCTTGTGCTTGGTTGGTCCCTTGTCAAAAGGCAGGAGGAAATGGGTCACACCTTGAAAACCTGGAAACAACCAGCTCCCAACGAACAAGTTTAAGCTGCTGTCCAGATCGATTGTTGTCCAGCATTTTTGCCAGGGTGTGTTCTAAAGCTCGCTTAATATGTGATCAGCTGAAACCGTTAAGCATGGAGACTTGTTGAAATGGCACGGATCCCGTCTCCCTTGGCCCAAGGTCAGCTCAAAGCCTTCACAACGTTAATGTTATGTTGCTGTAACTTGCCGCTTTCGTGTGTTTCCTTTCATTCTTTAGCTGTGAGCAAACATTACACTGTACTTGATGGACTTAGGTTCTACAAGAAAAGGATCGTTTCCAAGCGGCCAGCATTGCCTGCTCCAACTGGTGCAGAAGACTTTTCAAAGGGGCCTTTCTCTTGCAGCATGGCGGTTTGTTAAGTCAGGAAAGGGCGGCTAAGATATGTTCAGCAGCTACGCATGTTCTCATCCAGTGTGCACTGTTCACCAGAAACCAAGTAGATTAGAGATGACCAGCCGAAACTATTGGTTTTGATGCTTCAGATCCAGTTCAGCTTCCTGCATCAAGGGAAGTTTCCTTGAATAATGGAGAAAATTATGCACCTCATGAGAATGAGCTCAAGGCTGCGACAATCTTTGCTACTTCCTTTGGGCTCTTTTCTTGCAACAGATTCGCATGGGTGATACTTTCCAGGTGCAAGGGATGAAGAGCCTGCACACTGATTGAATTTGCTGCCAACTGTGCTGTGACTCGTTTTGTACGAGTTTAATGCATCAGGCTACTGGGGCCACCAGCTTCTGGGCACCAACGGTGGTGTTCATCGCATCAAGGATTATTGCGAACTTGATGGGCCTGGTCGCAGGCACTGGTGAGTGAAAAAAGCAAACCTGCTTCCAATCAGGAAGGAATACTCACCAAAAGCACTTTAGCAACATTTGGCAACACTCAAAGTAAACATTTGGACAACTACGCTTCAGACACGAGACAGCACCTGCACCGCTGTTTGGAGGAATGCCAGCTGGACTTCCCACTTTCTCCATGCTATTCTTTCAGGGGGTCTTTTTTGCTACTTGACTTAACTAACAGGGTCAGCTTGGTCTCAATTGTGGATGCGAAGGCTGGGAAGAAACCTCTAGTGAACTGCCTGTGTTGCTGATGCATAGCTTTCTCTCAAGCATACTGTGTAGTACACCGCATTAGGCCATTAGGGAGGCTACTATGAAGGTGACCCACAGAGCGTGGTTTCTTCCACGACGAAGCACTGCCATGCACACTTCCCCGCCTTTGTGGTGTCCCTTGACGCATACAATTGAAGCACGTTACTGTTACGTGGTGCGTTCTCAAGGCACGGTGGAGGAATGCTCTCCGACGAGAGCTGGGCTTCCAACCCAATGACTGCACTGACTATTGCCTCTACAGCCTGTGTGCTCCGTGCTTGGCAACTCAGGACAGCAGCCACAGTGCTACAGGTCATCACAAGATTCCAAGATGAAAAGTACGTGCATGCAAGCATGGGTATCAGTCTAAGCATGCTCTAAGGAGGTTTGAGGCCATCGCTATGCCATCGCTATCAGTCTAAGCATGCTCTAAGGAGGTTCTTCTTGAAACCTAGTGACAGTGGAGCTATAAATCCTCAGCGAAGCCGATGCACAGATCTCCCGCTGTTCTACCTTCCAACTACCATCACTACAGCACTACAGCCGCTTAGAGACATGTTTAGTATTCTTTATAAATCATTTGAGAGTATTCGAGCCTATTGACCAGAGAGGTCGACAATCAATTTGGCCAGATTTTTGCAACTTGGGTGGAGATTCCACGCACCTGCTTCAAAGCGCTTGTATCCTTTTTGTTGCCTGCTGTAACTCGTAGACATGCTGCTGAAGTGTTTTCCAAGCAAGAGTGTCCCTTTTCGTAAAGCTGGACTCCATTGCTTGCCACCTGCATTTTGCATGTGCCAAGTTGAGTTTACCTGGAATAAGCTACTGCGGTGCGTCATATAGAGGTTGCAGTTGCAATGAGTCCATTTGAAGGCCCTCAATGTAGGTGAGGGGAATCTGGTAATTATCTTCCAGCTTGAGCATTTTGCCTGTCTCCCACATGAGGGCCTCGGCTGCAGTTCCCGCCGAAGAGCTCGATCTTGCTCCAGATGCCTAAGGTGAAGCAAATTCGCCTTTGCAGTGAGCACGTAAAGGCGTTGATTCTCTTGTTGCCGCAAGTCCTAAGAGGTCTGTGGTTGGAGATTCTCCACTCCAGCACTGACCCTGACTCGCGACTCTTGCAAACCCTGTTCTGCTCACAAGAAGTTTCACGAATATAGTTGTGTTTCAGAATGGCATCTATTCACGCTGGCCTTTGCAGCGCGTTTGGACAGTCCTGGCAGGACTGGCAAAGAGCGGTGGGACAGGGTCTTACGCCGCATGTCCGTATCATCCGCTGCGTACAGCCCGGAAGTTGACGCGACACAACACCAAACGACAAGCACGGTGGCACCCCCACAAGGACTTACAAACAACCTCTAGACCTCCAGCTTTCAAGACCAGATTTGTTTGACATCTGGCACAACAACATAACATAGGCCTTGGCAGCCACATGTCACGGATTGGAATCTTTTGGAGGAGACCGCTTTTGCCAACTTGATTATGGTGTTTGTTTTGGTGATGTAGTTCAGCACTTCAGCGCACCATGGCCGAACAAAGATAGCAGAGCTCATGGTAAGTGCGAACGCGTGGCATTGCAAATCAGACATCTTAATTATATACAAAATATTACAAATTTGGAAGTGTGGCGGGTGTCGTCATGATAAAGGATAAATCGTCCAAGTTTTCTTCGTGCTGGCAAGAGTTGTTTGTAACCAGCATGCACCGTTGATGCTACTAGTTACTCTTCCTACCAGGGAAGGACGGGAAGGAATACCCGCTTCAATGATGAGAAGAAGCATTGGCGCAATAATATGCGAAAGGCAAATCAATGACTCCATTCCGAACTAGAATCTCGAAGCATCATATGAAAGTACCAGTTGCATGCGCCATGTTCTTCAAAGCATACTTAACCACAACCCCGCTCTTCTCAGTCCCAGGAATGTGTGTCGAAGACGGGGCTTGGGCGACGAAATCAATGTATTGTTCACGCCTAGGAATAGCATCAGAAAACAGGAGGCACGCCTGGGGCAGACCAGCGTAGCGTAGCGTATCAAGGAACGCTGCTGGCCCGTTGTCTTGTTTCTGACAAATTTGGTCTGTCTTTCCCCAATAAATATGGAGGACAAAATTGCAGCCAGGGGCTTTGAAAGGTTCCAGTCAGAACTAGTTTTTCTCCAGTGAGGGAAAAACTAGTTGTTTGCATCTGAAACCAAGACTTTACAATAGTTTTGCATCTGAGCTTATTGATCAGCGAGTTGATTCATCAACTGTTTTTCCGATTCTATAGTCTTTGGATGTCTTTGGTATGGTGCTCTTTTCAGAGGCACTGATTTTGCCGCATGGTCAACCTGGTGATTCTGCTAGCACAATTCACGAACAGGTTCATGCAAATTATCCAGCGTCTCATGTGCTTGGATCTTCTCGACTTGCACCTGTGTTCCGCGGCAATCTGCCAAAAGATCTGCAAGACAGTGCCACCAGTCTTGGTTGCTCCATGAGGCTGGAACAACATAAACATGACTTTGCAAAAGACACCACCTTTAAAATGTTTTGATGTTGGTTTGGCTCCAATAATAGTGATCCAGGGACGCAGTGGAGCTACAGCTTTCGTATGTCCGTAATTACATACACACATGTTGCAGCAGGTGTCTAATGAAGATACGATACACATTGTGCAATGTTATGTATCCTTCAGTTTACGCCCTGCGATGGGAAACAAAAAGAGTATCAAACAACGATGATGCGCAGATGCGCCTAAATTTGAACGAATCAATATTGCACCCTGAGAGTGTCCTGAGCCTGAGGTTTCAAGTGTATATCATGCAAGGAGCCATGGGGGTATTTTGCAAGTAGACGTGAGCCTGTGAACATACTACTGTACATGATGTGTGTGTGTGTCACACTCTGTTTCAAAGAGTTTTCCACAAGCAGGGGGACGGGTCACCACCGATACTGCCCGTCCAACGAAGAGAGTATCGGTTGGTGCTGAAGCAGTGGAGGACGCTCCACTGTGTACCTGCATCCAACGCAATGACTCCACTGGTTTCCCTTGCCGCTGTTGGTTTGTTTCCATGGTGGTTCTTCGCATGATATCCCCCAAAACAGGCTTCCTTGCACGGCGCTAAGTCAGTCTGCTAAGTAATCACGAAAGCTAGCGAAGCTAGCTGGAGTTACTCTTGCGATAGCAAGGTTTCTTTCGACCGGGTGCAAATCCTAACCCCTGATTTTTCAGGTCGAAGACCCC